AATGTAGCTGCAGCGCTAAGTCTGCCTGAACGTTCACGACTGTGAGACTGAGAATACACAAACAAATCTAAATGCTCGGTATTTTGAAACGTTTTGGCTTCAAAATGTTATGAAATGTATTAACCTTTAGGTGACAATATAAATAATCCATGATCTATTAATATAAACAGAAAATAATACATGTGTAGGAGCCTAAAAGCTGAGGAAAGTGTTAATATTATCTACCGTCCAACAACTGCAATGCAGCCAGGTCTTGGCTTCAGCTTCAGTCTTTTTGTGTTCAGGGACAGTGGTTATAGTTCCAGCCACAACTGTCCACACACTTGGACCAAACACACACTGTCCCAATGTCATACAGATATATTATTGTTACACATGTCAGGGCAGGCCTAAGAAAACCAGAACAGGAAGACCTTCAGAACAAGTTGTTTGCATAGAAACTAGAGTCATAAAAAGCATTACTACTCTGACATCAAGGCGATGCCATTGACAGTTCAATAAATGTCTGTGGTCCACAACTTAACCGGTGTTTTAATTTTTGGCCCCATGCATGATTGAGTTTAACACCACTGATTGAGATAACTAAAAAAAATTAACATAAAAAATTTAAGAAACAGAAAACACCCTGCTAAACTGTTTAGCTGAGAAAAAATGAAATAGTGATTGACTGATGTCCCAGCTTTTGAAAGAAATGAAAAACGAACAAAGAATATTCATGAAACGTTATATTAAATCCAACATTATGAAAAGAAAATGCTGTGTCCTGCAGTGTGACGGTTTTTCTCCTGTGTGTCTGCAGACAGAGACAGAGGAGACTGCAGTTGGGCTGCTGAACGATGAGCAAATAAAAACAATCAGTGAACATCAGCCACCGAGACGGATGCTGCATTTGCTGTGCTGAACATACCTGCAGGTTACAGCTAATACACGGTCTTACACACAATCACAAACACACACAAATCCAGTCGACAAAATCATCAATAAAACAGTGATGTACTGAGCATTTAGACAGAAATAAAGTCTGTACAGGAGGGAGAGAGAGTGAGAAAGAGAGAGAGAGAGAGAGAGAGAGAGAGCAGGCTGATAATGACACAACCTGGGATTTTATGACAGTCTATAATGACTGAAATCAATCCTGTTTCGACACCGAACACTGTTTTAATATGTGCGCAGTGACTGATGATTTCATATTTTTATATTATTGTGACTGCGGTGAGCACATCCATTTAACCCTGGGTCAAATTAGATTAGTGCAGATAATAAACAGGTCAATGAAATAATACATGCAAAGCATGGGTTTTATACGTGGTCTCCGATTCCTTAAGAGCCCGTTTGTGTGTCTCTGATTTCCATACAACGGCCCTGTTGTGAGTGAAAAAATGACACCGTATCATATAACGGTGCTCGTTCGTCTCGAAGGAAAACTGTCCAATTAATAATAAAACAAAAGAATCTTACTGCAGAAGTGATGAGTCTGAACTACCTAAAAACTTAATGAAAACCGAGAGTAAACATCCAGTGTAAAGCTTTTTTCCCGTCTGTCCTGACTGTTTTCACATGGATAAACGTATCAACTTTTTTTCCTCTCTTTTTCATCTGCCTATCTTTAATTTGTCCTGTAGTGATTGTGTAAATGTCAACCTCGCAGCAGAGATGTTCCCACAGAGATTACTGGATCAAGGACATGCTAATCAGCGTTACAAAAAATTCCGCTTTGTAAACAGAAAACACGAGAGTGGACTGTGAAGCGTCCTTTGTTTCACACATTAATGTGAACAGCACAGTTTGGTATCTGAAGAGCAGATGCTGCACTGGCAGTATCCTCATTGTTACCCCAAGGTATGAAAATATAATGGCATATTTTATCGACTCTGTGTTGCTACCGTTAATTGATATAAACCTAACGTTTGCTGTGGCTGTAAAATGAAGTTGTTTGATTAAAAGACGTACATTTCGTCCTTCCCCTGCGTTCCTCTTAGCTTACACTGTGTAAATGTGGTGGCTGTCTTTGTAATGTGTGCAAAACTATTGCAGTGAACCCTTTTTATACTAATAAAACATAAAATATGAATAAAACAAAGAGGAACCAAGGCTATTATCTTGTCTGGGAGTGAACTACAGAGATAATTGCTTAGTTCATCCTTCAAGTGCTTTGCAGCGCCGGTCATTGATCATTTTTAAACACCACAGAACACAGCACCAAAAGATGTTTGGTTTCCTTACAAATATAATAAATCTTGGATTATTTCTTTAGTTGGTAGTGAGTCACCTGTGCTATTATACATGTCGCCCCCATACAACCGTCATGTTATCAATGAGGCCATAGTGCAGTGAGTAGGGACTTAGAGAGAAGCAGACAGGAAAAAACTGTTGTTTTCCTCCATTGGTCTCCGGTGAGATGATCTGTCTCAAAAAGGCGTAAGCTTATCTGAGAAAAACATACTGCAGAGTCAGGGAAAAAAGTGATTCATTCATCCAGGAAAGGTTCATTCATAGTGGGGGCACATCACAGCAGCATCCCAGCTCTGTACAAAGGCTTCCTTTGCAGCATAAAGAACTATGGACCTCTGAACAGAAAAGATGTCATTTTAATTGATACGTGTACAATCTACCCAGCTACTATATTAGGGACATGTAGCGGATGAAGACGTGGTCAAGGTGACCTGCTCATGTTCCCATGTAGTTTTAAAAAGGTCACAGTGGTCATTCAGGCTGCTGCTGATAGAATGTCATCATTAACTCAAATAACCATTTATTTCTAACAACATACAGAGAAGAGCAGTTAAACCTGAAACAGTTACCACAGCGACCTTAGTCGACAGAAACTATCATTATGATTACAGCTAAAATGAGGACAATCCTACATGGACTGACTTAAAGTAGTAGACTGGAAAAACATCCTCTGGTCTGTTGTTTATTATTTAGGTATATTTGCTCCCATAAAAATAGCCTAACAACACTAAAATGTACCAGTATAACAATCTGTACTAACTGTATCTGAAATTCCTTAATTTTTTGGATTTGGTGTGATTATCGACCCAAATCTTAGTCATGAAAAATGTAGTTCTTCAAACAAAAACAATATAATGTGGTACTGGAACTGTGCGTCTAATGAATTTCCTACAGAGTGTATTATGTCCAATTAAATCCTCTGCTGAGCTGGCCTACAGCCAAACGTTACAGTGGGCTAAAGGCGTGGTGACCGTCTCTCACACACTGCTGAGTGGGACAGATGGGTGTGACTTCAGCATACACAGAGTACACTTGTGTAGTAGTAGCTGTATAATGGTCACTGCAACCGCTTCACGGGAACAAACAATTTGGCTCAAAGATTAGACAGGGGAGAAAATGCAGATGCTTCAATTTGAAAAGGAAAAGACAAAAAAAAAAACTTATTTAAAACTTGCACTGAAATGCAGTTTAATATACAGTGCATCCTTGGTAGAATAAGGTGTATCCAAATTGGTATGCTGACAGACATAAGATGGACTTCCTAATGTTGACTCAGTCAGCATAAAAACGCAAAGTCACCATGGCAACAGAGGATGCAACGCCGTTTGCAAGGAACGAAGGTGGAGGCAGGAGAAGAGATCTGACTAAAAGCCTCATCGCAACCACCAGTTTACAACAGTTTGAAAAGCAGCCATTTTAAACGCATAAACAATGCCGAGTGCACCGGATGTCCCATCCCATTTTGTGCACCACACCAACGGCCAAAAAACTCGAGCTACTACGGGTCACGTTGATGCTCCATCACATTATGTAACTGCGCTCAAATACAGTGGCAGCAGTTTCCAAGCGCTGACGAAATCATTACCCACACATGAGGGGAATTTAAGGCAATGGACATGTTTGATTCTGTTGATCTGTTGCAGAAACGGCAGTAAATACCAGCCCGGGTGCACAAAGTTGGCACCTCTGTTTGACTACAATACTTCATCTCAGCATCTATGCATGGAGGCTGACAGGATGTGGATATTAAATGAACTACAGCAGAAGTCAAGAAAAGGTCATCGAAAAGAGCGAATTTCAGGACGATACAGTTCGTTAACACCCAACAACATCTCTGAGAGGGTTTTTTTTTATTTGAGATGCAGCGTGGAAGGATGGATGTCTCGATGGGTGGATGGGTGGATGGAGAGATGTATGGATGTGCGCCTACCTGATCGCAGGTTGAAGGATAGTCGGGCTTCGACAAGATACGGCGTGTCGCTCTTGGAGCGCAATCTCCTGATGGGTCTTCGGTCTGTGCTGCTGTCTGAAGTGGTCGCCATCAATTTGAACTGATGTCCGCTGGTGCTGCTGGCTGACCGACTCAGGGCAGACGCAGAACAGCGGCCACTCACACACACCCACTGTGGGAGAAAGATTTTGAAGGGGGAGGAGAATGAGGAGGAAGTTCACACACAACGAGAGAAAGAGAGAGAAAAAGGGAGGAGGGAGGAGATAAGGGAGAGAGCGAATAATCGAATTATATAAAATAAGGAAAAATAATATAGAAATCTCATAATTCCAAATTAAAACATTCTCAAATATAACATTTGTTAATTATCCTTTATTGCAAATATAAACCATTTGCATTTTTTTGGAGTAGCTGAGAAAGGATGTTGGTCATATTGACCACGTCCACCCCACGGAGAAAATACATTCGCAAGCCATATGTGACTCACAGATACGACTGTTTTTTTATTATTATTTATTTATTTATTTCGGGTAAAGTGAAAAGGTTACTTTAGGGTCTCAAGACACCTTCTGTGGCCCCCAACCTAATTTATTATCAAATTAATTTTATTTATTTATGTATTTATTTATTTCGAGTTAAAATACTTTAGTTGCTAATTAAAAACAATACATATTTGTACAAGTAGTTTGCAATGTAGTTGTATAAAACATTTTACATTTACAAAACTACGTTTTCTAAAATATCTCGGTGTTGTTTTTGTAACTTTGAACTCTGATCACTCTAATGACGGTAGCAGCCATAGCCCTCAGCAGGGTGGATCGCAGTTTGAATAGTCACCACTAGATAGCACCACAGAGTCATTGTTGAAACAGTTCTTTGCGACAGCTTGCCCCGTTTTCGGCATCTCTGGCATTTACTGTAGAGTAAACAAACAAAACCGTCTAACTCCCAAGAACAACTTTAACGGTCGCAGTGAGTAATGCAACATAATTTGTACAACATAGTTTGCCAACTCTATCGGTGTCAGGCCCGGTTTTTAATTTACTTTACACAGAAACACACCTTTGGTTAGGTACGTTTATTTCCTCTGAGCTACTCTCGCAGCTGAGCTAATTACAGTAACAAAGTATGGTTTGGTGTCGTTAAAATGAAGGACTGCAAAGTAAATGTGTTTAGAGTATGTCTTCTTCTTAAACATACGACTTAATTTCGGTTGCAAATAAACTTAATATCCAGCATTCTTGTGGTAAAAACTTTCTGCGGTTGGAATTGTGAAGCTCAATGCCTCCTCTCTACGTCCAGCCAGACAAGTTATTTTTAAGGACGCGACCATTTGTTTAAAGGTGGCATTTCCTGTATAAATAGTGCCAAGTTTTAGGGCATTGCATTTTTTATTAGAATATTTTTAAACCCCTGGCCATTGCCATGTTGAATCTTACTCGTAGAAGCAGTGGTATCCCGTATTTGTGCAACAGCTCCAGTGAACGTTTCCCAATTTAATGTATTAATGACTTTTAACTTATTTGTCTTAAAAAGTATAACCTGACCCTTAAACTCCAGTCTATGTCCATATTTACATTTGTAATACTGAACATGTACAACTTTTAAGTAATATTAAAAGCATTGTCCACATTTCAAGTTAATGAAATAATGTTCTTAACCATCACTCAGACAACCTACATTCCATTCACCATAATCCATATATTAGAAATATAATGTATATTAGAAAATTCTGCACCAATTTCTGCCACTATATGGTATTTATTTTAAATAAGTGACTTTTTTTCCCTCTGGTCTCAGAAAATGATTCTCCGAAGTCGACTTCTGTTTGGTCTTGGTTTTCGCATGTGTTCCACTCATGTGACAAAAGGACTGAAAGACACAGTAAGACCAAACTCAGGTAAATCAACACAACCTGGGCTACAGTAGGGAGCAGTTGCATTTCTTTATTTCTAATTTCCTTTAAATGAAAAGATGTGAATGTGTCGATGTGGGTGGTGGGATAAACAATAGTCTTATATAGCAAAAGTAGGCTCTGCAGAAAAAGTTTACGAACCACAGGTTTAGATTATTTTCTTCTTAGCATGATCATGGAATTTTAACTCCAGAAATGTTTTTGTTAATTAATATTTCAGATATGTCAGAGTTTCGTAAGGTCTTTTCCCAAGCTAAGCACATAGTCATCATCACTGGGGCTGGTGTGAACGCTGAGAGTGGCATCCCAACCTTCAGGGGAGTGCATGAAAAGTGGAGGAAGTGGCACTCTCAGGTATGTTACATTTACATATGGTGAAAAAATTTCATTTTTGTTTGTATTGTATGTAGGTCAAAGGCTTTTGTTTGTCCTGGTTTCCAGTTGAGGTTCAGAGTGCATTTGTTTTATCTTCAAATAAAGGTAGAAATGGTGTTTGTTGTATAAGGTGTTTTTTTATTATACATTAATGCTTACACTTTGTCCTTACACTTTAATCAAACATTTGTACTGACTGATGTATTTTAGTTATCTATTAATACAATTGTTTATATTTCCCACCCCTTCACAATTTACAGCCAAATACTGTTCCTATTACCCATCTGATCCACCATTTAATATCTTCATTTGTACCCTTTTAATTGATAATCTCTTTTCATATTTAATGCATCCTCAGGACCTGGCCACTCCAGAGGCCTTCTCTCGTACGCCTTCTAGGGTCTGGGAGTTTTACCATTACAGAAGGGAATTGGTTGTGAACAAGAAACCGAACGCTGCACACTTGGCCATCGCAGAGTGTGAGGCACGTTTGAGGAAGCAGGGACGAGAGGTGGTCGTCATAACACAGTGCACCGACGATCTCCACAGACAGGCAGGGTCCAAACATGTCCTCCAGATCCACGGTGAGAACAAATGTGGAGCCAAATCACCAAACTGCAGTGTCTTACACTAAAGAAGTAATTTTTTAGTTAGCATCAAAACACATGGTGGATTTTAAATCACTAAGATTTGGTAATGGGTAATGGTATTTGTGTGATAAATATACATATAATGTATACGTATATATATGTATAATACAATACATACATATACATACACACATATTTGTATATATATATATATATATATATATATATTGCTGTTGTTTTTAAACACTATCCATTGAGTTAAGTCACCCTGTGTGTTGTTATTATGTATTCTGTCTGTTCTGCTTTTTTCCCTTTAATAAAGTGTGTCAATGGTACGGCACGGTGGTACGAGATTGATAAAGGCCAAAGTCCACGGTCCACACTCTAGGGCATGAAAGGACTTGTTTGTTGATATTTTCACAAGCTCTTTACAAAAGAAATACTTTGAACACCATTTAGTGAATAATTAACAAAGCTAAAATAATTGTTGCATATTGAAAATGTTTGTTAAATATCTTGGCTGTTTATTATTGTCACCATGTCTGTCCGCCATGCATGTTGAGCTTTTGACATTGAGCCTTTTGCTGTTGCAGTTGCTTAGATATGTTAAGCTAAATGTGACAAACAATGCTGTTCATATACACAATATAGGACCTTTGAACTCTGCTCTTGATGTCACTGATGACATTTTCTTTTACCTGAGAAACCCTGACAGACAGATTTGTGTTCCCTACATTTTTCAGGCAACCAGATGGAAACACGGTGTATGAGTTGCGGAGATGTGACTGTCAACAAACATAGCCCCATATGTCCTGCCTTGAAGGACAAAGGGTGAGACGTGGCGTCACTCACTGACTTGTATACAGCCGACCTCTGATCTCATCATGTCGACCTCTGTGTGTCAACTGAATGTTATTTAATCCACTTTGTTTATTAAGTGCACCCGGGCCAGATGTTCCTGACGCTGACATTCCAGTGGATAAACTGCCGAGGTGAAAATCATGCTTCCTCATTTCAGAACACCACAGTGACACTGTTGAACTCCTATTTTTTTGTTTTTAGACTGTCATTGTGTAAATTCGCTTATGAATATTGATTCTTAATTTTTCTGTGTCCAGGTGTGATGAAAGTGACTGCCATGGTCTGTTAAGACCAAACGTGGTTTTCTTTGGAGAAACTCTAGATTCTCACATCCTGACCAAAGTGGAAAAAGAAATGGAAATCTGCGACCTCTGTCTTGTGGTCAGTTTTATCTTTGGTTCAAAATTGCGCCTAACATTTGAAAAATTGCAGAATCCACTTGGAGTATATGAAGTTATAAACTTCCTAAGTGTACTGCTAAAACCTTTGCTCAGAGATAAACTAGTGGTCTGTTCCCTCTGCTTCATCTGTTCTTGATGCATTACCTTTTACCTGTAGGTGGGTACATCTTCCATTGTGTACCCAGCAGCCATGTTTGGACCCAGGATTGCATCCAGAGGTGTCCCAGTGGCAGAGTTCAACATGCAAACAACTCCAAAGTCTGAGTACTTCACGTAAGTGAGAGAAAAAAAAAACACAACAAAAAATCATAACTGAATCAAACACATGGATGTTAATGTTGTCTCTCTGTCTGTGAGTGAAGATCAGTGGCCTCCACTGCATCTTCAGCGTAGGGACTTTTTCACCCCTGATGATGATACATCTGTGTGTGGTACAGGTACCATTTCCATGGACCATGTGGCACAACACTGCCTCCAGCCTTGGAGCAACATGAGTCAGAGGTTACTCACTGACTGAATACACAGCAGTCAGTGAATATCTGTTTACCTTTAATCTAATGCAATACAAAACTGCAACTTTTTACTACATTTTCTTTTCCAAATCTTTGCCTTAAAATCTAATCGGCTGTGGATGCCTGGTAAGAGGTTGAGCTGTTAGTACTCCAGCTGTGTGTTTTAGGACTACAGTATGATGTGGGTTTTTTTTATTACTTGAATCTATCACTCATGCAACTGGAAGTGGGGAGTTAACTGTTTTTTGTTTTGCTGTCTAGTGTATCTGGGAACAATGTGTCTTTATGAAAATCAATATAATGCAAACTAGTTGTTAACATAGGATTTGCTGAGGTGTCAGAGGATGTGGTGATGGGATCAAATGCTGGATCAGGGGCTGAACATATACTTTGCTTTAAAAATGTATATCACTGCTCTTTCCAGTGAAAAATATTCATCTCTTTTTTATGTCTACAAAATGAACACATGAACAGACAGAAACTAAATCCTGTGCCTTTCATAACTGTTTACCCAACCTTGACCAAATGTTTTCTTTAAACCTGGAGTGAAAAACAACTTCTGAGACTTGACCCCAGTGCAGTCTATTTCTGACCAAAATGGGGAAGAAAAGTGACGATGAGGAGAGAAGAAGAGAGGAGAGGAGAGGAGAGGAAAAAACTACTCATTTGTCCTCAACCATTTGTTTGAGAACAAATGAGAATGTGTTGTTGTCACAATGTCTACCTGTGTTTTAACATGAGTATTGTTACATTAAGTGGATTTTTATCATCCATGGTGCATTTTTACATATTTAGTCCTGGGTTTATTGTGGCATGTTCAAACACTGAATAAAACCGATTATTTTCATAAAAAGAAATTAGAAAAGAGTAAAATTCACAGTACCATTGAACAAACCTATGCAAACGTGTACTTTCTTATACTGTTTTCTACTATAACTAATAAAAACTAAAATGCAAAGTAGCTGTTTGTGCCGCTCTCTGCTGAGTCCGTGTGTACACAAGATGAACAGTAGAGGTCAGCGTTAAGCTTTCATAGAACAGTATTATGAAGAATCGTAGAGTCAAGTGTTTCTTATTTAATGCTGTTATGACTGAAAAAATATTTTTATTTATAGCAGTTTTAAACACCTAAAATATAAAGTATGTGTATAAAAAAGTATATATTTATTGTGCTGTTATATTTGTGAAATACTTGAGTATTTCAGTACATTCTCTGAATTCTTTTAAAGTAAACACATTTAAAACAAATATTTGGGTCGAAATTATAGAGTATAGTACAGCACAGTATACTTTAGTGTAGTATAATGGGAATGACTACCATTACCCCCCTATGATGTACAATCTAGCTTTTTGTTGGTGTCATGAATCATGACATTAGGTTAGTTTGGTTGGTTATTTTACGCTGATGGCCTTTTCAAAGAAAACACTCAATTGTTTGTCATTTTTAAAAACACCACACTGATATTGTTCCTCTGATGTAAACCCTTCACAGTTCCTCAGAATGACTCTTGCAACCTTCAGTTCATGAAACACTTTAAAATGGATTACATTTATTGACCTGCTGGTGTAACATTGTTAGGTCATTGAGTGGAAATGAGAAAAGAGAGAGAGGGGGAGGGAGAGGGAGACTGGAGTCATTGTGAGGAGATGAAGATGGCCGTGTTGATCAGATGAGGTTTTAATAAAGTAGTAACAGTCGTAAAGTTGGAGCGTGTACCTCGGAGTGTGACAGAGAGACAATCACTCTTGTATCACAGTGGGATCACTCCAGTTCATCTCATCCTGGTACAGTTTGTTTGGCCACAGAACCACAAAACAACACCAGGAGCCTGCCAGCATTTACAGTATCTACATTGTTGAGACATCACGCTTTACTGTGAAAGTACACAACACAACTTCTGTGCTGTTCCCACCTCGGTGTGGCAGCTCCTCAGTAGCCTTTTTTTTTTTTTGGCTGAACAGTTGGAATCACAACTGAATCGTTCTGTCTCCTGTGAAGAACCTCCACCTGTTAATCTCCATCATCACTGTTGGGATTAGATTGACTCATTTCTTCATCTGTCACTGCAGCTAACTCCCTTTTGTAGTCATAAGCAGGGAAATGAAAATCATTAGGTAATAAATGATTGTTTTTTCACAGACAGCGGGCAGTGCACGTGACTGTTCTCCTTTCCTTCACTGTGTGTGTTTGTTTGGACAGCATGTGTAAATGGGCTGTGACCTCCGTGTTAAAGATGTGCTGATAGGCTGTTGGCAAGAATGGCACTTTTTAACCACCACTTATATCACTGTGGGTCTTTATAATTTGCATTTGAGTGCCACTAGTTTATTGTTTTTGTTGAACCTAATTCATGGTAAAGCAGAGAAAAATAAATCCAAATATTTTCTTCTTTTATTTTTCTTTCATATTTAACATGGCCTCTGATGAATTTCAAGGATTGAAATTACTTGATCTTTTTTTGTTTAGGGTAGAGAAGTGAAAATGTTGTTGCTGAATCCTGCACGGAACACATTTAATATAAGTCTGGAGATTGCTAACATTAAGTGTAAAACAGAGGCAGCTAAAAGCGATCCTGCCAACATTAACCGTAATGATATATGGTCTGTACTTACAGCACGTAGCTCTTCTCCGGTCGTGACGATCACTCAAAGAGCCTCACTCCGCATTCCATTCACCTCTTTCCCATCAATCCACTCACTATAATGCAGCACATCTATTTGTGGCACTTCTTTGATCAAACATCTTTGATTCCCATTTACATGCCGCCGCCTCAGCAACAGGGAATTATTTGAGGGGAAGTGTTTTGTCCAAAAGTGCATCAACGTACATACATTCAAGGCGAGCCTGGGGTTGAACCTTCATCCCTCCGAACTGTCTCGTCAAAATGTGTTTTGTTACATCAATGTAAAAATGACACGTGACATGAAATGAAATGTTTATTAAGCCTAAAGAGATTGGATGCATGCTTTCGGGTTGCAGAAGGTGCCGACTAATGCTAAGTGCTACGGCCAACCTGCAGAAGAGTTGGGTTTTTGCACAGCCTTTGCACAGGGGTCTGTTATGCACAGCATATAATAATAAACATTTCTAGTAAACTTAGCTTTGAGAGGGCAGTGGAAGCTGACACAAATTTGCTGGCACCACAACCACACAGAAATGCACAGACACACACTTTAATCCCCATGTGTGTCTCCTCTCCCTGACCTTTCCCTGAACTCTGTGTTTTTACCAGACTTGGTCGTGAAAGTTAATGTGAACATGTAATCCCTTATCGTTTGCTATGAGAAACATAATCACTCCTTTCGTAACAGCGTCACTAATCACTGCGCCCGCAGATCTGGTATTTAAGAAAATCAACATGTGGTTGATCCGCCATGCGCTGTTGTTTTCCTGTAGTTTGGTGGTATATTTTTTGTGATTTTTTTAAATGCCTTCCTGCACCTACAGAACCACATCCTTGAATTGGGCTGATGTTGCTGCATGTAAAGTGACTGGGGTGGGGGCTGAGATCCAGTCTAATCTGTTCGACACTAATTGTGATGCAGCCACATTCACGTGGTCTCCCCTCGACGAGAGAATTATTTGGCAACATATGACAATGTTCACTACTTGCTGCCTATTTGGTCCTTCAATTTTTACAATTTAATTAAATTAATTTATAGTATGGCTTTTATAAATGTAGGCTCTATCGTAGCATATATATATATATATATACATATATATATGTATGTATATATATATATATATATATGGTGGATTATTTGTATTTACTACAGAAGCACTTACATATAAACTACTCTACTTCCTATTCTCCACACAGTACCTATTGTCCCTCGTAGGACAGGACAAGGTACAGAGGAAAACACAACAGACAGACAGCGAGAGAGAGAGAGAGAGAGAGATATTGTTGTTAGTATCAGAGGCTATAAGAGGATTTCACCGTGGGGAGGTGCAGCACTTGAATCTCCTGAACCTGATGGCTATTGATCCACCTTAATCTTGCACACAAACACAGAGGTGGTTGTTTATTTTTTTACCCTACTATGAGCAGGCCTCTAACCTCGCTGCTTGTTTTGCTTCACTTCCAGTGTCGGGTGCAGTCGGTGCTTCTGACATACAGTTTAGCTGCTCGTGTTGCATTCAGGGACAGTGTATTTGGAAGCAGCAATGATGAAGATAGAAGTACAGATTAGAAGGTTGGACTCAGATATGTATCTTCTTGCAAAGCTCTCATTCTCTTCTTAACTGAGGTGTAAATTTATTGTCAATAAGCCTTGGTAAACCAAAAATATAACACGTTGATAATTTGGTAATTTATTAGATGGAATAACGTTTGAATAACTAGGATCAAACATCCAATTAACAAATGGCTCACAAAAGAGGTGAAGCGTAGTAAACGGGTTGAGAAGGTGGCAGAGTGTGAGGCACGGTGTGTGTATGAAGGACAGCAGGAGCCGTGATTTTATTGACCCCAAAAGGCCAATTCTGTTTAACAACCGACTCCATTCAGGTAAACAATAGATCAAACCATAAGTAAACCTATAGCTGCCGTGATGCCTGACTCCAATTGAAAACTAATGCAAAAATCAATAATTTATAACAGCAGAAGACATGACTCCACATAAAAGACAAATACATTTTTGTGCTGGGCAGTTGCTTCTGCTGTCACCGTTGATTGGTTTTGGAATCTTCAGCAATTTTGTATTAAATAAATCCAGTGTTTAATATTAATGTTATTAAAAACAACTACTATATTTATCTAAGATTATGTGTTTGTAACTCCTGTGTGTCCAAGGGATGCTAGTTAGAGTTAAAAAGAAAAACGGTCGAAACAATGAACAAAGATAAGTACAGCTGGAACCGACAGTATTTGTCTTTCAGTAGTTCTCCACAGTGAGCACTGCTAACATCACACGCATAAAATACGCAAGAACGTCAGATATGATCAGACAGAGAAATTTGCAACAATCCTCACGTGACACACAGCAGCTGGACATAAAAACAGTCACAGCTGGTTAAGTGACCTTGAACAGTGGCTGAATTATGGATCCACAGCTTCTACATTTATCTCTAGCGATTGTGTGTACCACGTCCTGGAGAGGGGACCGGTCGCTCTTCGCCGCGTCAGTGATAAGCTCATGGATCTTTTAGCCCTAGTCCAGTTTTGATTTGGTTATTATGTGCGTATTATGTTTTCAGCTCAGAAAAATGACCTGTTGCGGCTCCTGCTCGAGGCCAGATTTGGACTAATTTCCTCCGAGTTTATATCAGCGGTAGACGACCTCTGGCTATATTTGATGTATGCTCTCTTTTTCGTTCATGCTTCAAAGAAACAAAATAGATTCATCACCGTGATGTGGGAGTAATGAGACTAACTATCACACATTTTCCAACAGCTGGCGTGCTTGGCAAAGTGGTGTTTTTTTTTTTGTTTTTTTTTTTCTCTCTTCTCTTTTACACTTATTAATTAAAGTTGACATTAGCTGGTTCTCAACACGCAGCCAAAGTCTCCTGGGTGTCTCTTGGCTGGTTCATTTGCTGGTGTTGAGCCAATGTGTCTGCAGTTTTGAGAGCAGAAACGACAGAACTACTGGGACACTGGGAGGAATTCTTTGTTGCTATGATTACAGATGATCACCTGATGAAGTGCATGGCAAAGAAATAATTTAATGGAGGCTTTTATACATTTGTTTCCCCCGCTGATCTTTCTTTCTTTCGGCCGGTGAAAAAGGCTGGTTTACAACTGAGTAACAAGACATCACTCTAAAATGAGTTCTGGTATGAGAAAATTTTAAAGAATCAAAACAAATTGAAATGGTATTTTATGTCATTTGATCCTTCATTTTGGACGATGGTAAAGCATAGGTTTATAAGAAGATGAAAAAACTTTGTTCATAAATATAACAAAACTATAAAAGACTTCCAAGACATAAATAGTTTCATTAAGAAAACCATAGAAAATATATATTTTTTCTTTTTTCTTGTTTTTAATTTATTTATTTTTTGTAGACCAGGACTGGAAGGGACAGGAAGTAAGACACTGTCTCCTTGTCTGATAACCTTGGAGCACAGCTTTATGGTGTGGACTCCCATGTGACCTCTCTTTGTTGTCAGAAGATTAGGGCCGACAGAGTATGACCGTGTACTTACCTAAAGCCATCAAAAGCAGACCGAATAACATTTTTATATCACACAATGAATCTGCTTTTATCCTGCAGTGTCCCCAGCTACAAACAGGGCAAGACGTCCCCTGTGGAATTACTGCACAGTGTCCCACAAATACAGAAAAAAAAAAGAAAAAAAAAAAGCCCAACTGTCAGCCAATGGCAGTTTAGAAAAATAGAATCTGCATGTGTAGATACACAAATGGCAATTTAAATGTCAGATTTGAGTCTGGTCTGAATGCAGCATGTGACATTTGCATCAAAGAATCCAGAGATGTCTTAGGAAAAGTGAAAACCACAGCAGTAATTATTGAGATGAATTCAGGAGCTGTTACGCAAGAGAATATTGAACTATTGATTAAGGCTTTGGCAGGAAATCAATGGCAGATTAATGACACGTTGCAGCACAAATGACAACCCTGCTTTGTTTCATTCACATATCACCTTTTTGTGAGCCCTGTCGCAGTGTCTCGTCACAGGCTGCAATAACACCCCAGTGTTTCGTGTGTCTATTAATAAAATTCAAGTCAAAGCAACAAGAGTGAAAACCGTGCAGATAAGACAGGAAGCCATGTGTCCTATATCTTGTGTCCCACATCTTTTTTTTCTCGGCGGAGCAGGGTGAGATAAAAGTGCGAGTGGTAGACAGAGCAGAGTGAAACGGGAGGACTGCTGCTGCTGCTGCTGCTGCTGCTGCTGCTGCTGCTGCTGCTGCTGCTGCTGCTGCTGCCTCCGCGGGCACATACAGCGAAACAACCTAGCTGCTGCTGCTGCTGTGGAAACATACAGTGACACAGCTACACACTGATAAATCAATTATAAAGTGACAGCAAGGACTTGGGTCAACATGTTGTCTTTGTTACGAGTTATTCCATGTCCATATGTTGGATCATATATTTCAGGTACAAATATATTTGCAATAGAAATTACAATGTCAATACACAAACACTGGTTTTTGCAGTTTGTGAACGTGTAACGTAGAATGCAGGGTATATTAAGTAAGAGTAAATAGTACTTGAGTGGTAGATTGGTGTATCTGCACAACTAATACTTGTAGTGTTTAAATGCAGATGACGGATTGTTTCAGTTTTTATTCACAGTTTCCTCTGAACAAACATCTCCATCAACATGTCTGTGTGTCCAGCCAGCCGCCTCGATGTTTAATAAAGCCGTTCCCCTGCTGTTTTGTCTCGGAGTTTTGTGAGCTGCCAAATCTTATATTTATGTCTTTCTATTTTCACCCTCCAGCTCTCCATTTCTTTGTCTTTGTTTACCTGTCACACTATAGCTGACGTGGATCAGCAAAAAATAGAGGGAACAGGAGGCATGCGACTGTATTGGTAGCAGGTTAGAGCAGTGGACTTTGGCACGGACCATCCATCTGTCACCGTGCTACACCCGCACTGGCACTGACGGGTCATGGAAATGGCAGTCTGTGACGGATGACTAATCTCCCACTAGTAATGAATGTGACACTGTCCCCTGAATGCTAAAATGGGCCGGTGGTGAAGGTGGCTCCATGACTGACAAACGGGCTAATCACATGATGAATATGAAGATGATGATATGCAGACATATCACTGTGTTCTGGGACGAGAGTGGACAGCTGTTGTAGTGTACAGTAGAGGAACATAAGAAGTCGTTGTTACGTAGACGTTGATATGAACTGATGTCTTGGCTTGTTTTCAGTTTGGGAGTCGACTGTATGTGTATGTGTTATTTTTGAATTTGGGAAGCTCTGCCTGATGCTACCATAATGCAACAAAATGCTATAAGCTGTTCATTCGGACACAGGTTGGTCTGTTCAATTGGACCATGTAGGCCAGTCCTTAAACCTCAGATACTTTGACACGTTGATTGGTGAATCTCCACATACTGTATGCTGAAGCAGTTGTTTAAACCTCGAACTTGCTGAAACACAAAGACACAAAAGGTTTTTTTTCTTGTGGCATCCATGACTGTGGAATTAAAATTTGTACTGCAAATTACGTAACATATTTATGTGCTTTTTTAATTATTATTTATTGCCAAATCTACATGCATAAACTGTTCAGTTTAAATCAGTGGCACTAAAATAGCAACTGTTGTCACTAGGTTTGTGTTTGGAAAGGAAAAGGAAGACCATGAATGACTGTGTATGTTTAGAAATTAGATTTCAGCGGATGTGCTGATGGGAACATGTCATGTGTAGGAGGTAAATGTAATAAGGAACCAGGCATGTACATGTACTGTATATTCAGAGTACACGCACTGTCCTGTTGGGCTGGTGCGAGAAGCAGCTCCAGCCAAATCGTCTTGACTGTGTGTTGAGTCTCTTGGACCTGTCTTATCTTCACCTCATAATGCGCAGGCGTGATCCTATCTGAGCCCAGTGGGGGAAAAAAAGAAAGGAGAAAAATAAAGGAAAAATCTTCAGCAGACGTCGTGCGCGCTGCTCTCTCTGCACAGTCACACTGAACTGGAGCGAATCAGGCAGAGACATGACGATGACTGTTTGTCTTACACTTGATCTCTTCGAACAACACAGTCCAACCTGTGGATAGTGCGGAGCGCGTCTGTGGCCACCGGCCAGTCTTCGCGGTCCGGGACGTTCTGCCTGCAGCCCGCTGTGTGCGCCTCCTTCGAGCGTTCGCTCCGGTCTGCGCCGGCGTGGGAGCCTCAGTTCCGTCCGACCACAGCTGTGAGCAGGTATTCAGTTTATGAATGGCACTGACATGGAGGAAATACCGTTTCAGAAAGTCAAAACCAGGCGGAAGAGAAGTCACTGTCCACCTGGTGTCCCCTTGACCACCATCGTGTGCGAGGACGAGTTCGACTGCAAGGAGCTGGAGTCCCTCTTCCAGAACTACAACCTGAAGCTGGAGCAGACCTCCACCCTCAAAGCCCTGGCCGTGCTCATCTTCTTGTCCTCCACACTGGCCGTGCTGGAGTTGCTGTCCGGCCCCAGCCTCACCATCTCCACGGGGTCCCATCCGGTCCACTGTGTCATCTTCGTGTCCCTCTTCATCGTAACTAATGTCAAGTACCTGCAAGTGACTCAGCTGCAACAGATCGTGAACCTGACGCTGCTCTTCGGCTTCACATTCTCCTTCCTCTGCTGCCCCTTCTCCCTGGGAGCCATGGGGATAGAACCCCCGACTGCCCCGGAGCAGGGCATGTGGCAGCTGATCCTGGTCACCTTCGTCGCGTACGCGCTCCTGCCTGTTCGAACGCTGCTGGCCGTTGTCTTTGGAATAATGGTGTCCATCTCGCATTTGATTGTGACTGCAACTTCTGTCACAGTGAAAACACAGAGACTGTGGAGGACGGTAGGTGTATGACACACACACACACACACAGACACACACACACTGACTTTGTTGCTCACACACTTGCACCTGCCCTGAGGCCCGTTATTATCATCCTGACAGATAATCACATTAGGCCAAACTCACTGTTTTACCCTTAGTTCAGCACCAAGGACAGCTCTCCGTCGTCAGACTTCATTGGGGTTGTTAGGACTTTCTCCACATGTCGCAGGTGTAGGTAGGGATTTGTTGATTAAAACTAGTTTCATAATTTGATAACACATTTGAGATGTGTCACCTGAACACAGAAGAATTAAAAGTACATGAAATTAAAACATTAATTATAAAATAAATTATAAATAACATTTGAAAACATACAAAACCAACGTTTGATGAGACATGGCCACCGTGCTCATCTGGACTTTACACTGGTGTTTCTATTACCATTGACTAAATGGGACAAATGGTGTGGTTAATATTATCAGTTGCTCACATTCCGTGGTCATTGATATGTTTGGGACCGCCATTAAACTTACAGAGAAGTCAATCATTTCTAGATGAAAATTAGAAGAAAAAAACTCTTGAATGAACTTATATTTAACTTATATAGATATAGTGATTTTAAAGACCCTCTCCCTGTAACCACTGGGCTACCTACTGTATCTGACAATGTTAATACATGTAGCTCAATTCACTTTACATGCAAAACTACATGCCAACATTCATAGAACTTACAATAGTAAACGTTGTAAACAATCACATCAACCCTGTTGCTACTTTAAGACAGTGGTTATCAAACTGTGGTACATGTACCAATTGTGGTACCTAGGCTCCCTCTAGTGGATTCTTATTAGGGTGAGTCACTTAGATTTTAGGTACAACTGTTTTGCTGTAATACTGTGTGTGTATATAGTGCTACTTCCTTGCACAGAGTGGCTTCAGGGTGATAAATCAGCCAATCATTTAAATGCTGTATTATAATATCGGCCATATTGGTACTTGGAGAGCCAAATGTATTTGGAGATGATGTTCAGTTTTGAGATCCAAAGCACTAAAGCAAAACAGTACTGATAATTTCCAATAGGCTGGAGCTAAATCTAAAGTTTATGCCAAGAACAAATAATAAAAATAAAGAAAAAGAAAAAACTCCGGTTGAAGAATCTAAGTGACATCCAACTAGCACAGGAAGTAGGGCAAAACTCAGGAATACACACACAGACCCACAAACACACACAGACCCACAAACACCTCATAATAGTCATGAAAGCTTTAGTCACAAAAAAGAGGGCAAAGTCACGCAAGTCAGTGGAGAGCTGAACTGGAAACTGGTTCAACACACCATACATTTATATCTTTGCACTGATTTCTGTCACACACACACACACACACAATGAGCTACATCACATTGCGGACTGTCATCAGAGTGAGGAAAGAAGATATGTCACATCAGTCAAACCCTGCGGGGCTAATGGAACGTCTCGGCCTCCGCAGCAGCACCTGTGACATGGAGACTGTGCATTTGTTGGACGTGAAATTGAGGTTTGATCAGTTCACGACTCCCACAGATGATGACAGCGTGTTTGCCGAGGAGATTGTTTTCCTGGACGTCGGCTGTGACATACCTGCGTAGTCATGTGAAGGACGGTCTTAGCTGTTCCACCAGAGATGGCTAATCCTCTGGCCTTACAGCTGAGCTGTGCAGCATTCTCCTGCACAGGGCTCCTGCCGACCAGCCATCTACGTACCACACTGCACTGTCTGTCTGCTTTGATGGCTCAATCTGTCTGAAATATATTTTTAATGGAGAGCGCGTGAAGTATATGTTGGGCAATATCACAAGGTCGTCATGCAGCTCTAAATCTTTTTACTTCAGCAGCCAGGAAATGTTTGTAAAGTTGTCAAGGCTTTGAATATCTTTTTAGAGATACATCAGAAAAAAAAATTCTCAAACAAACCAAGAAAGCACCAGTAAATACAAATCAATATGATTTAAAAATTTCAAAATTCCCATTTACTCAAAATATTCATATCCAGGTGATAATGTATTTCTGTTGTGGCATTTTGTTCTTTTAGCATTCTTTGGCTAACTGGCTAATTATGGCTAATTTTCTGGTGTTATATAAAGATATTTTCTGGCTAGATTTGAGGTGTCTTTGTTGCATTCTAGCTACCTTTTAGCTACGTGCATTCTGAGCTAAGCTAGCTTGGTACTGTAAAACATGACGCACCGTGCAAGAAGGAAATTGTGATTATGAAACTGACTTGAATGTTGAATTATAACCTAATATGAATAAACTAAAATATTAAAGATGAAGAAATTGTAGCACAGAACTGTGAAACGTGCATGTTTTTACTATTCACTCCACTTTCTTCTGTGTGCAGTTGGTTGCAAACATCGTGCTGTTCACCAGTGTCAACCTGTCAGGTTTGTTTGTGCGGATCCTGACAGAGCGCGCTCAGAGAAAGGCCTTTCTGCAGGCTCGCAACTGCATCGAAGAGAGACTTCGGATGGAGGACGAGAATGAGAAGCAGGTAACGACAGCAGTATATGTCGTTTGAACTGAGGGTAAAATTAGACGTGTGTCCCTTTTAACCGCACCCCTCTGGTGCTGTGAGTCATTTCAACACATTATTAATTTCTGTTAGGTTTCATACCTTTCTGTCTGGCACATGTCTTATCTACTGACACTTTGTCCTATGATAACTTTGATGTGTTTGACCATATTAATGTATATGTGAACATACTTTATCCTCTTTATCCTTCCACTCTCTCTTTTTCCCAACACACACACACATATACATACACACACACACACACACACACAGGAGCGCCTGCTAATGAGTCTGTTGCCCAGGAACGTAGCTATGGAGATGAAAGAGGATTTCCTGAAGCCCCCAGAAAGGATCTTTCACAAAATCTACATCCAGCGCCATGACAATGTCAGGTAGGATCCTTTCTCATTAACCCTGGACTGAAATGACTCTGTAACGCTGTGAACTAATTTTAACAGGGGCATTTGGAAATATTCTGTTCTCCCCGTGGAATCCTAAAATGAAAAAAAAATTGAATTACTGTCATCCAAGGATATTACAGTGAATATTAAAATGTGACGAATAACTTGACCAAACGTGTTCTCGGAAGAAAACACTGAGCCGACAACTTCAAAAAACATTAACACATTTAACAATTTATTCACACCAAAACTAGTACAGTAATCTTTGGTGTACAAAATATATTTAATATATATTATATTATATTTTTTTCTAAATAATTGATTAACCGATAAATAGGATTACATGAAAATATGTATTGCGTTGATTATAACACATTTTTAGACCAGTTAAAATAGCAGCCATTTCTACTCAGTGCAGTAGAAGCATTAGCTCTAGCTCCGGTGCCCGAGGCTTTACCTGAGCTTCCTTTCTTATATAATTCAAACAGTACATTTATAAACATGACATGCAAATCTCTCCGGTCACTAAACCATGATTTAACCATTTCCATTTACAGCCGCCTTTATTCATCGTCTCTTCCTGTAAATCTGGAACTACATTATCGTGATCCAACATTTTCACATTTTTTTCATTTCTTATCTTCTCTTCCCCCGTTCTTCCTCACTCTTCTCAGAGCAGGACTAGTTGCATAATGTAATGTATGTCTGTGTGTGTGTGTGTGTTTGTACAATAGTTAAATATATAAATCCTTTCATTGGACCACTGTTGAATAGGATCTTGGCTGTTGTGTATATTATAAATGATTTTATGTGATTTGGCTGAAACATTGCAACCAATTTTATTCATGTTTTCTTTCAGTGTTCAATTCAGAAAGTACAAAAAAATGTGTTTGGAGTTTAGTGCCACAGATGGCAGTTACACCAGCGCTACAATTCACAAAATGTTAGTTAAAGGAAAAGTTGCATCAATATAAGCGCTTGCTATGACTATATTTATACCCCACATAGATTCTACATGCGACCATTGGTCATATGGAGGGTAGCGAAGCTCAAAGTGTGAGGATCGGCTTGGTGCTTGAGCTCCCGTACTCTGCAGCATCTCTTTATTGGCTTGTATCTTCTTCGTGATTAAATTCTAACAACATTTGCCAAATTAGCTGCAGTAATGCCTCCCACAGAGGGAACCAGGAGATTACCATCAGCTCCATGTGCCAATTGAGAGGATTGCATTGATGAGAGTGCGAGAGCATTGAATTAAACAATATTAGAAATTAGACGAGTTCTAGTTGCCACAGGAAGTATTAGCTCGACGTTAACGAGTGCTCTCTCATCCGTTCTTTGCGAAATGCAGTTATTTTGGAGTTTATTTTTTATTTTTTTCCTGATAATGAGTTCAATACTTTATGCCATGGAGCACAGAGCTCATGGTGACAGATTGTGCAGTGATTGGTGCAGGCTAATGCTGTAATAATAAACTGGGATGAACTGTGATGAATGCTACTTTCAGTTTTTAAACGAAATATTTCACCAGAGGACTGTGGAAAAACCATTAGAGTGATCCCCCTGGTGGGTTCTCAACAGTCCGACTTTACACACACACACACACACACACTCACACACACACTCACAAGACAAGTGTAATTGTGGTGTATTATTAAAGTTTATTAAGTGAAACTAATATTTACAGTGCAGCTTCCAAAGTGAGTGTGTGCTAACAGAAGCAGCACATCATCCATTGACCCACATTAGTAAGAGGTTATTGAGTTCACTAGTGTTTTTTTTTAAATTCACACCTTTAAATAAAATACAACTTTTGTGCCATTTCGACCAGTTAGTTCATCAAAAAGGCATTTGTTCACATCGTCAGCTGGTCTTGGCTGTGAAATCCAACACAGGGTGTTAATGTGATTTCCATGCGGTTCACATGAGGTGAACTCTGCCAAAGATAACTGACTAGGATAAAGTTGACATTAGGTCATGGCTCCCTGGCTCCTGGCCTTTAATAGGCCGCTCTGTGGAGCACGTAGTGTCTTGAGTGGATCCGACACAGAGGTCAAACACAAACAAGAGCCGAAGTCATGATGTTTTAAACCTAGTTTTTTTTGTTTTTAAATTGTGTTTAGCGTTTTGCAGGTCTTTGACGTGACAGGATTTTAGTGAAGTTTTCTGAAGAGAATTGTTTTCTCCTGAGAAGCTCTTGAGCTAAAGACTGTGGCCTTTCAAACCATGAAAAGCAGGTCATTGACTGAGCTCACACCTGTGATCATTACACCCCACCTGAATAATGGTTACAGATGGAGCAGTCGAGTGATGATTAATTTCACACTCAGTACTTGACATTTCAGTGCTTTTAAAAGAGTCACAGAATGCCAAAGAAATACAGGGTTTTTTGTTTTTTGTTTTTTTGTTTTTTTGTAATACGGCTGATTTATTTGCCTGTTTACAGGGAGATCTTTGTAGGTTTCAGTTTGGATTCCAAAGATGCTGTGAAGCAAAATTAAAATTCTGGGCATGTGTTGTGTGGGCCGATTGCAATAAAAAAGGGAATTTGTTCGTCATCCAGCTCTTAAATGTTTCATTGCGGACGTCAGTCTTTAAAACATGGCTGCTCGGGGTTCCGCTGTCGACACAGTCTCCACACGGGTGAAACTTTTAAGTGTTTACCCTTAAACAGTGTTGCCTGCACCAAAATATTTGTCGCCCACAGATGGTCGGAGACTCAAACATTCGCACCAATCTAGTCGATTGCCCCTAATTGCGGTGACATATGCGAGAAAACAAATTGACATTTAGCAGCTCACCCCTTGCAGCCCCAGCACCTTGTCGCAGCATGAACGCCGCGGCCCACATGAAGACAGCAGTCTGCCATCAGAGCCACGGCCGCAGACGTGCAATTTGTTCGACACAGATTGATGACTAATCCTGGTTTGAACACGGAGCAGATCTGTCACATCCCGTTGTAATTGACTTTATATCATTTTTAATCTGACAAAAACATATCAGCCACTTGTATGCTGCAGCCGTCGCCGTACATTTTACTGCAATATTTACTAGTCACATACTGTGTCATTTAGCATGCCACTGAAAGATGTTCCTCAGGGCCCCCCCCCCCCCCCCCCCCCGCCCCGCCGCTGTTTACACTACGTGAAGGACAAAGTTAAAACAGGCGTTCAGTAAACTGTATGCCTGTATGACTTGCTGAATGTGCTGAACCTGCAGCACTTTTGCTCCTGTAATATAGCATCTGTCTAAAAAGGAACAGTTCACCTGGACGGGCTGACAGCATCCTGACTGCTGCATTATTTCCTAGAATGGCTGCTCTCTGGCTCCTAACAGGACTTGTCTCCACCTTGATCCCCGTGAGAATACTCTCACTTCTATTTTGAGTCTCCCGGCTCAGCTGGGCTGCCCATCACTTAGAAAGAGGAACAGGCTTCATCTCTCTCTCTGTCTCCGTCTTTGTGGGGTTTTTTTCTTTCTGTTAGCTCCGCCTTCTTCACGTCATTCATTTCAATGTTTGATTACTCTTTTGCAAACACATTATTGTATGAGATTCTCCAAACTGACCTTTGCTAACGCTCCCCAAGTATCATTTAAAAGAAATTCCTCGGAGCTAATCCAATCAGGCACCCGATAATCTTGTTTTGTTGACGCTGCATAACTTGCTGCTATAAATAACTGATATTGATGCATCCTTCTGTCTTTCTCTTCTGTCTCTCTTACAGCATCCTGTTTGCAGATATTGTTGGTTTCACCAGTCTGGCCTCCCAGTGTACAGCCCAGGAACTGGTCAAGCTGTTGAACGAGCTGTTTGGAAAGTTTGATGAACTTGCCACAGTGAGTCTTTTTCCCTTCTTCAACTGTTTTGTGTATGCAGTGTGTGTGTGTGTGTGTGTGTGCTGCAGACCTTGGCCTCTGCAGCACCGGCTTAGCATTACTGCAGTGTGAATACTGAAGAGCTATACGATGATACCTAATATGATTACTCCCTGCTTCATTTGACAGATCTATTTAATCTAGAGCAGATTTACCTCGGGCTAAACCTCCTCACCACCCTGCTTGTGTGAATGAAGAGAATAAAAGGGCTGCTAAGTTGCAGTCATCTTAGTTGGCATGTGGAAAAGATTTCAGCTCATCCATCTGTCCATATTTCAAAGCTGGAAATCCCTTTAAATACTGCTGCGGACACGTTAAAACACAACAGCCTGTGTTGTGGTCGTACTGCACTGATTAAGTCAAACGCCAACAGTGATGTAATAGACGTGTTAACATACATTTACCTCATTTAACATCAGGTGAGATTATATTTACTGTGCAATGAATTTACATTGAATAGTCAATATGCAAAACTGATGTTAAAAAAACAGAGAAAGTTATCTATATTTTTTATCCAAAAAAATGTTGTGATTTCTCCTGCAAGCCCCAGTGCACCAACCCTGCTGCGGCCTTATCTAATCTGGACTCTATTACTTACAGCAGCCGCCTGCCCTTGTCAAATCCAATAATCCAGGGGATTACAACAAACCAGTGTTTGCTTTCACTGAAGTTTGTCCTCTTCCCTTGAAAAGATGTTTTTTGTAAACATTTACCCTGGAGAAATAGTTCTACAGACAGTTTCAGAAAGAAATAAGGAACTATACTGTCATGTACAGGAACTTGGTTTCGTTTTATGGTCCGAACTCTAGGTTAACTCCATGTTACGTCTGTTTCTTCCTACATGTATTTTGTAGGAGGTACAGTATCTTGGTGTGTTGTGATTCTAGGTGTCACAGTTCAGATTGTTAGCTTAGAGCCTCACGTTCCACTCAAAGGCTCTCCTCAGCCGTAAAACGTGACATCACATGTCCTGACCTTTGCCCTGACCCCCACACACTCTGAGCCACTTGAGCAGGAAGTGGCAGCATCGATGACTCATAGCTGTGGTCGCCGTGGTCATGCAGACTCCTATCTTTCCATACGAAGAGCGGGCGATGCCACATGGCCAATGGTTAACGTTTCATTGTACCGTGCCAACACCATCCCCACACCACCTGTCCACTCTCTGGAGTTGTCAAGCTGCATGGGATTTGAGCCAGGAACGCAGTGTTCTCCTGAAGTGCTGCTGGTGTAGAGGGAACACTTCTTGCTCTTCTCTCCTTTTCTCTTTTCTTCTCTCCTCTCCCATCCTGTTTGCTCTCCTGTTTTCCCTTTTCTTCTACTCTCCTCCCCTCTCCTCTTTTCTCCTTTCTTCTTCTTTCCTCACCATTTTCCTGATCCACTCATCTCCTTCGTCTCTCAGTAACTTAGACACACAGCTGTTGTGTTTTCTGTAAAATGTTTGTCTTCTGTGATCAAATGACGCCCAACAGTGTCATATTTTTCTATTTTCTTGAAACATTAACAGCTCTGAACTTGTTTCCGTCCGTACAGTATGCGTACAGTGGGTTGGCTCGTGCACTCGCACGTGTACATGTGCTCGTGTTGTCGTTTCCATGGCAGAGTTTCACAAAGCTTTTCATTCCCCCGTCTCTCTGCCTCTCCTCTCCCCACACCTCCCTGTATCACAGCTTTCAAACTCCTCTGCTCCTCCTTGTCTCAGGGCTGGTTGATTGACGTGCAGAAGCAGTCTACTTCCCTCAACTGTGTCTCTTATGTCCCACGGTTCTCCACAGTCTCTGCTTCACTTAAGTTTCCATTTTTAGGAGAGCCCAGCGATGAATCTTTCCAATCTCTCGTACTCCCTCAACAAGTCAGAGATACCTCTTGTTGGTCACACACGTTGATGAAACCAAATGACATCGTCATGTGGATCATGATCTAGGACATCCAGTGTGTATGGACAATTTCCAACACAGGGATTACATTGAAACTTGGATCAATGGGCTTTTAGGCCTGAATAGTATTTCATTTCAACACCAGCTGAGTTCTTATTCTCACACAGTCTGGAATAAAATAGTTAACAAACACCTGTGAAGTGTGCATTTCTCTGCTGAATGTTTAGTATGAGAAGGGTAGTAGACTCAGACGTTAATGTTCATTCGACTTGTAATGAAATACACGGAGCTGCATGGAGCTCTGTCTGTCAGTGTCCAGTGTCAGTTGACTCACAGACATTGTAAAAATATTCATCAAGCTATATTTAGGCCTTGACTTTGTGAATAGACTCATTCAATTGTACATTTTATGACTAATATGCAGTTTTATCACACTAGAGTTAAATCTCAGTGTACTGCATGTCAATGCAATAAATAAAACCTTCCAAAAAAGGTAACAAGTTGTTTTGTTCCCCATTCTGATCATCAGATCTCAGAATAATCCAAAGCCTACTGACGTACTGTATGTGAAAATGTAGGTTTAACTTCACAGATTTCCAGCATGTGCTCAGTCTATTCACCAGCTTGAGGTGTGGAGGAGGTGTCGATTGGTTAAATTATTTGCGATGCACACACATTATTCTGCGTGCGTTCGATTCATTGAGCGAGCAGCTGACAGAAAGACTGGAAATATGTACCAGTCACTGCTCACTTGGCAGGAGGAACCTGGAAAGATTTTGCACAACAGAGGGCCATTGTACTGAGTCACTGTGAGTCATTTTTAAAATATTTTTTTAACAGCACCAGCATGGTGTAGGATTTTCTTTTTATATATTTGTACAACATGATGCAAAAAGCATAAAATAGAAAGGCTGGCTCTCTCGAAACTACAGGGCAACATTAATGATATTATTTTTTAAGGTGTCTCAGTTGTTTTTGCATGAAATACTGCCGCTGCTCCCTTCTTTGGTGATTCGTCTGCTGCTGCCCCTGCTGCTGTTTCTGCTCAGCTGGCTCGTCTTTTCCTTCATAATAATTTACTGCCCTGTTCTCCCGCCCTCTATTTGTCTCTTTGTTTCTTTTTGTCTCCCTCTGTTTGTTCCTGCGTGCTGAAGTGGCTGCTAATTTGCATCTCCTACGAGCATATGCAGCAGATGACTGTATGTAAAAACCCACAGATACAACCTCGACCATACCTTTTGGTATATATAATGATACATTTCTTATTAAAACACGACCTGACTTTGCTTCTTTTCTTTCTTTCTTTTTAAAAATTGCCACTGACATCTTTCCGCAGTTGTGAGCGTCCAGATTGTCGTCAGTGCTTCACATGCATCACATGACAGCCCTAATCCTGCTTGGGTCTGAATCAGTGTCTAAGCCCTTACAGTGCAGATTAGCATAGAAAAAGTACAGAGTATACAGGCTGTGTAAGCACCGTGGCTTTCCCTCACTTCCTGTAGCTTTAGCCGGGCCTTTTAGCGCCATCTGTGTCTGTTTTTTGCATGACCTGCGTTACCCCAAAGATTGGCGGCGTTACATTAACTACAGAAAAAGCTTTTACTGTCCACTAAAAGAGAGACGGTTTTTCTGAGGATTGCCTGGAGGTATCATAAGAAAGAATTTCTGAAGTGTCAGAGCGAGTGAAGATGTGAGCTTCACAGAAGCTGAATTTAGCTTTTGAGACCTGTGTGACTCAGCTTACTTTTGACAGCTATTCAGAGGTGTCTCTTTGAAGCTGTGTGTTTGTTGAACTGTGGATTTAGATGAAGAAGAAAAAATATAGGAGCTTAGATGATGTTAATTCTAGCACTTTTAGCATATTTAGCATTTTTCTCATTTTAAAATATGTGTGTATTTATTTACAATATAAAAGGTGGGTAGAAAAAGATCACATCACTTTAAATTCTTCCAGCAATTATTTTGTATTGCTGGCAACTGCATGTTGGAAAACAATACTGCAAAGAAGGCTGTATCGAGTATTTGGGGGTTGTTTTGTTTTTAATACAAAATTTGCATGTTTGTGGACAGTTGTTGAATGACCTGGCCTTACGACATGTTTGACCCAAAGTGACTCATCATACCCATGCCACTGGGGGAGGTCACAGTCTGTGTCTCCATAATGCTAAAGCCATAAAATGGGAGCGTTGTATCAGGAAAGGCATTTAACAAACAACCCTGGATTATGTGCTGTGGTGAACCCTGAAGAAGGAATCGGTCATTTCAGATAAACATTGTGATTTTCCTGCTGTGGTGAACCCTGAAGAAGGAGTCATTTCAGATAAACATTGTGATTTTCATGTGAAGTGTCAGTCACTGAGTTACCTTCATGGAAACAATTAAGGGTCACGGGAAGTCACCCGAAATAGCCCGGTCTCTGTGACAAACTATTGCCACATCTTTTACCACGGGTTATATTTGTAAACTGTTCTTTCATGCCTGTGTTTCCAGTATGTACTCTGTATTAGTGCAGTCACAGCCTCAGTCCATTTGGTTTGTTCATTTAACCAAACGGCTTTACACATCCTGTTGGTAAATCTTTAATTGAATCTGTTTTTTTTTATTTGGTTTATTTTGCCGCTGTCACAGTACCAGGTGTGTACTGTCCTCATGGTACTTCATGGCGTTTCGCTCGTCTTTTATGTCTCGGCGTAACTGTCACTGTACGACACCACACTGTTTGGTAAACGAATTACATTAGCTCTATTTTTATTGGCAAGAAATGGGTTTTTAATTAGCGTTATTGCAGATGAGCATATTGTTAAAGGTGGAGAACAGGAAACCCATTTCACATCCATTTATTAGGGGGAAATTACTGTGTACATTTAACCTAATCTGTGAAACACACCAGAGATTAACACACAGTGGCAGGGAGCCGCACTTTTGGTAATGAGTCCAAGCAGCGGGGGTTGTTTTTAGTGCTTGCTCAACACACCGTTGACCTGCTGGGGATGGGATTTGAACCCGCAATCCACTGATTACAAGTCATATCCCTTGACCACTAGGCCTACTCTTGTCAGTCAACCTCCACTCTCTCTCTCTCTCTCTCTCTCTCTCTCTCTCTTTGACAGGAGAATCACTGTCGGAGGATCAAGATCCTGGGGGATTGTTACTACTGTGTGTCTGGACTGACCCAACCCAAAACAGACCACGCTCACTGCTGCGTAGAGATGGGACTGGACATGATCGACACCATAACGTAAGGGATCCATTTTGTGTGTATTATCTAAATTATTGTTTGAATCCTGAGTGGTTTTGTGAGCAGGGGAAAAGTTTTCTTCAAGTTAATCTATCGTCAAAGAGTTCAAACTGCAGCCTGATTATCCATGTGTGCTGTGAGTGGATTCTAACACTGAGCATTTGAGCTCTCTTGGCTGTGAAGAAGGCTTTGGAAGTGAAAAGAAGTTTTATTTTTGGGTTCGAAAATGCTGCAGTAACATGCAGCGAAAGATACTGTAATTAACAATCCTGAGCTTTCAGTACTTCCTGAAATGTCACAATTTTTAATGTAGCATCTTCACTGTCTTGTATGTGTTTATGACAAATATAATTTTCTATACATTTAAATTTCGATCTCTCCTGCAGGTCAGTGGCAGAGGCCACAGAGGTCAACCTAAACATGCGCGTGGGCTTGCATACAGGTCGGGTGCTTTGTGGAGTTCTGGGCCTGAGAAAATGGCAGTATGACGTTTGGTCCAATGATGTGACCCTGGCCAATGTGATGGAGGCTGGAGGGCTGCCTGGGTGAGTCTGGACATCAATGAAGATCTGAAGCAATTCACTGTATTTTCATTCATTATTTCTCTTTCAGAATTTTTGTAAGGTATACCTTATTACACCAAGTGTGACATGTTACATTTGCTAAAGCTTGACTTCTGTGAAAAACACTATCCAGGTGTAACAGATAAGTCAGTGCCTGCAGACGCTGCAGGGTGCACTGCTATTTATAGTACTGACTGATTGGATGTATTAGTCTCCACCCTTTTTTTGTTTTAAAAGCACAGTAGCGTTGCATTTGGTCCATTCACAAATCTTCAATATTAGGATGTGGAATAAACACTCTTCCAACGTGCAGAAAAAAAGATTTTTAAATTAAAATCCAATTTAGAGGAAAATGACCAATAATGTGAACATAATCTTGTGCCAGGACCTGTGGTTTACTGGAGTTACAGTTCACTCTACAATGTGTTCTCACGGTTCTGTCTGTCCCACAGGAAGGTTCACATCACCAGATCTACATTGGAGTGCCTAAACGGAGACTACGAGGTGGAGCCTGGAAATGGACATGAAAGGAACGCCTTCCTCCAAAAACATGAGATTGAAACTTTCTTTATAGTGCCATCGCACCGAAGGAAGGTATTGTTGAGCAGACTTTGTTTACGATAAATACTGCATGTATTTG